AAAAGTTTTCTCTAACTTGGTGTCAAATTGTACTTATCTCTGTGTATCTGGAGTTCTCATGAATGATCTATTCTAATTTTCTACAAGTTTTAAAAGTCACTGTAGGAACTACTGAGCATGTTAGTATGCATTCCATGACTTTGAAGTGCCTCTGAAATATACTGAGAGGACTCATAGCAGGACAGAGGCTGTTTTGCCCAGGCACTGTGACAGCAAATGGCCCTTTCAAGCCAGATGGCTTGAATGTCATTGCTCATATCTGACAAAAGAACTCTCCTAGTCCATCTTCAGTCTTAATTTCAGTCAGCAGGGTCGTCTTGTGACAAAATTGTTTGATGGGAGGTTTAGCAAAATATGGTTTAGAAGCAATGCTGCGTGTGGAGCCTAAAGCTTAGTGATTGAAAAGGCTTTATTTTTATTTTTTTAAGTGACAGCAGAAGTGCTGTTGATCTTTATCCTTGTTTGAGAAGCTGAGTTTTTTTCCATTTGTCCATTTGCAGGACCAGCTGTAATAGGTATAATTTGTGCTTGCTCAAATGGAGGCTACCATGGCAGGGGTGGGAGGTTTGAAGTCTTATGGGATGGAGCCCTTTGAGTCAGACAACTGTGTTGAGGGAGTCATTGCTTATTTTATTTATTCTGAAGTTCTCAGAAGAAAATTCTGAAGCAAATCCACTTTTCTAAAATCAGGGTTTTTTCAGACATTATTTAATAGAGAGTTTTAGGGAGTTGCCAGTCTTGAACCAGTTACTGAAGAAAAGCGGATTATACAACTTTCGCATTGGCAGTTTTATTACCAGCTACAACTCCAGCCCTCCACCAGATGACTGATCTTCCAGCCTTATTAAGACCTCTCACAGGCTTTCCTTTTACTTTGTATAATTTATAGGCATGTTTTCAAATGTTTTCTATACCTTCATCTGCATTCCTGTCTTCTGCAATAAGGCACATAATTTGTGAAGTAAAATGACAATGACTAACCCCCTTTTTTTAATTTGCAAGTCAGGTAGTGACTTTATTTATATCACGTCACTGTTTCGGAAACACTCATTGCAGTTACTCATACGTATTTCCCTAAGGAGTGAAAAAACATTCAAAAAATAAAGAAGAATGCACCAAACTTGATCTAGAAAGCTGGCAGGAAATCCTAGGTCCAACCCTATGGGAAAAAATAATGGTCTGTGGAAAAAAACTTTTTTCTGTATTATGTGTCCTTTTTATAAAGATGTAATAAGGTTTTGTTGTCTTCAGATGTGAGAGAATTTGTAGCTTTTGCTTCTCTCCCCTCATTTTTGGACAACCTAGAAGTGCAGTATTCAGATGCATGTTGTGCTCATTTCTTCTGAACACTCCCTTCTCTTCACTGTTACTATCTCTTTCAAAGCTTTTAAAATAATTTTCAGACCATCTTGTTTTGACACTTTAGGAAGGTTCTTGTGCTTTATCCTTTTTTTCTTATACACATGCCTTCCAGTTTAGCTGTTATTGTATGACTGCTTTTGCCTGAGCCAAACTTGTAATCAGTGAGGAACACTGATTAAAAATTCTTCTGGATTTTTGGTATGTGATTAATTTTTTTTTTTCTTTTAAAAGGGAGTGTGGGTCATAATTCATAAAAGAGAGAGGAAGCCCTAGAAGTTCCTAACTAAGGCATATGATGACTGAAGTAGTTCTTTGTCTGTGGTTTGACTTTGCTTTTTTTCCAGACAGTTTTTGAAAAATCCTTGTCTCATTTACCTGTGGAGAAATGACCATGCACTTAAACACTGCTAGTTCCTCTTCTATTTTTTTTTTTTGATGTCCATAAAATGCTGAGATTAAGTTAGTTTTCTTCATATCATCCCATATGATTGCTGTGTTTTAGATTTGTGTCCAGAGGTAGAGAGAAGTGAGCAGCTGTGTCGTGTTGAGCTGCTTGCAGGGGTTAACCCACAACAAATACTTTCCATTTTACTTATCCTCTGTGCATAGATATTGGGGGAATGGTGTCAATGAGTGTGCCTCTGTGTTTGTATATAACTTCCTTGTTTTATGAAATATTTTTTCCAGCGCAGCAAATATGGAATATATTTAGTGCGTAGAAGGGAACTACAGATAAATGCATTATAATGCAAATTGTGCATAGCAGTTATAATGAGGCTAAATGCAATAAAGGATAAGTCAGTTCTGATGGCAGCAAAACAAACAGATTTATTTCAGAAGTGTTATGCTTCAGTCGAAGAATTGGCTAAGTGGAAGCTCATAACTGTTTTGTAGGTAATGGAAGTGGAATGAAAGGTTATTTAATTCCACACAAAGCAGGGGAATAAGAAATTCCTGTCTGATTGAGACTCATGATCCAGGGTGGTGACTGAGTGTTGCAGTGTGTAAACCTGGCTACTTTCTATACTCTTCCAGCATGTGCAGCTGTATAATTCAAATTTTCAGAAGGTTTCTCACAACTCTTTTACAGTCCCCCTATGAACCTGTCATCCATCACAGTAAACAATGAATTTCCATTGCGTTTGTCCATGACTTCCATGATATTTTAAACTTCAGTTGTATACCCCTCAGCCATCACATCTCCCAACTGCAGGGTCTTGGAGATGAAAGATGAGTGGCCTTTCTGATCTTTCATCTCAAGATACCTCTCTGCCTTCTCCTTGATTTTGGTTGCCCTACTCTGCACTTTCTCTGACTCCTTTTGAGATGTGGAGACCAGAACTAAATATTACTGAATGCATGAATGCATCAAATTTTATGTAGTCAAAATTATGCTGTCTTTAAGCATCCTTCCTGATGATGCTGACTGTTTTGTTGGCTTTTATAGCTGCCTCCGCACTCAGAGCAGGAATTAGATGTGAGCTGAGAGCTCAGCAGTGTTCTGACAGTCTAGTGGGAAAGCCTTCCTTTTGATTTCCAGGGTAAGTGTGAGATGATGCTCTCTTCAAAAGTCCTCTCAGGGCTTTATTTAGATCCATGACAGCCTTCGACTTTCTTGCAAAATATGCCTTTGCACATGCCCTTAAACTTGCCTTTTCTAACACTGACTTTTGAGTTCCTGAAAAAATGATGATGGAAAAACAGAATAATGTAACACTTCTGCATGTTGTATGTCCTCCCTGTTTAAACTATAGCTAACAGAGAATTCAGGAGCTTTCTTGAATAAACTCCTTATTTTGAATTGGAGCCAATCTGATTCCCATTGTTACCATGTTAACCTAGAAATATTATATGCTGTATTTTTCTTAATTTCTGAAGGTTTTTTATGTGGAATGATGTCAGGGAAATAGTGTGATGTAGTAGGAAGTATTATGTGGTTTAATTGAACATGGACGTGAGTCAGCATTGTACCATTGTTGCAGTAAAGACAGAGTGCATAATGGGTGGATGCCCTAGAAAGAGCTTAGCTGTTTGGAACTCTGTGTGCTTTTTCCTCCCACACTACCCCAACACAGGAGAGATGTTCACAGATGCAGAGGACCTGGCAAAGACCTGCTAGGGAGGCTGGGTTTGGCTGGGAAAAAAAGTCTAACGGGGAATCTAATTGCATCTTTTCACCCTAAAAAAGTGAAGTTGCAGAGCAAATGGAAATAAAATCTTCTGAGGGGTGCAGACTGAGAGGACAAGATGCAATATGAGAAACTTCTACTGAGGTATGAGGGAAAAAGCCTTCACTGGGTCAAGCAATGGGAGCAGGTTGTCCTGAGAAACTGGACAAAGGGGTGTGACAAGAGATGCCTCTGAGAAACCCCACCTCCCTGTGAACCTGCCTTCAGCACATTTGAATAGGTGACGTCCTTCCAACCTCAAAATTTTATTTGATTCTGAGACATTGCTAAAATATGTGTTGTTATTTGCAGATTTCTGAATGATCTAACATTTGTCCCGCTTACAAAGAAACAATTTTAGCAGGATATCTGAACCTTCAGCAACGTTTCCCTGTCACACTCTTGGACAGTAGTATTGGAAAAAGTTGTGACTGTGTGTTTTGGAGTGCTTTCATGGGTGGTGCTGTTGTGTTGTGGAGACTTCACACTCAGACACTTCAAAGCCTTTCTGTCTGGTGTCTTCCAAAATCACCCACCCTTGTTCTAACCCCACCAGCCTCACTGATCACTGAAAATGCTGAGCAGTTTTCAAAATGCCAGCCCTGCTTCTCAGTGAAAACTTCAAATCTCTTGGTGTGGAGAGGGGGAGGAGAGCAGTAAAATTCTTTTAAGCAGGGATGCAGGAGATGCCAGTGGCCATGGCAGTTCTCTTCAGCGCCAGCACTGCCTCCCCAGGCAGGTCTGCCTGTGTCCATGCAGCTGATCTCCTTTCTGCCTGCTGTCCCCAGTGCCATCCGTCTCACCTCCCAGCTGTAAATAAGCTGTTGCAGCAGAGGGAGGAGCTTGGTGGGAGTGAGCTGGGGGGACAGGGGTGTGTGTGGAGGGCAGGGATGGTATGTGGCTCGCAGCTGCCATAGACGAGTCTGCCACTTTACTCATGGTTACAGCACTCTTCCCCAGCTGAGGCTGGTTTCTAGCCAGCTGGTTCCTTCTGAGGTGTCCAGTAACCACTGAGACCCTGCAGAGATCTGAGCCAGAGCAGCCTCAGAAACACCCCGTCCGACAGTGGGACTAAGGATGCCATGCTGTGGACTGTGGCGCTGTTTGCCTCCATGTCACCTTCTCCTTCGTAAAATGCTCTGTCAGTGCCCCTTGCACATCAGTTTGAGCTACAGCTCAAACTACATTCAGGTGAACATATCCTGCATGGGTCTTTGGTCTTTGGGAATTCTTTGGGCATTCGGTCATTTCCAGGACCAACTCACCAAGGTAAGTGTGGACAACAGCTGGTGATGTTCTCCGGCAGTCAGTAGCTGTAGTAAAAAGTGTTCATTGAGCCCCTCAACAGACTTCTCCATACTTGTTCTACATATTTTTAGTACCAACTCTTAGTGCATTAAATTACTGGATGTAAATAAATAAAGGATCATCAATTGATATGGTCTGCTGTTTCTCTGTGTGTGTGTATAGGATGACAAAGAAGCCAACAGACCCCTGCCAAACAAAGGAGACCATGGACTAGGAAATGAGAAATTCAAACCTGTGGTACCTTGGCCTCATGTTGAAGGTGTGGAAGTGGACTTGGAATCCATTCGAAGGAAAAATAAGGCCAAAAATGAACTAAATCAGCATGGTGTTGATAACAAGCAGCAGAACATCCTCCAGAGGCAGTATCTCACTTTTAAACCTCAGACATTTGTATACCCAGATCCTGTGTTACGACCTGGAGTCCTTGGTAATTTTGAACCCAAAGAGCCTGAGCCTCATGGAGTTGTTGGTGGTCCTGGAGAGGAGGCGAAGCCATATGTTTTAGGACCAGATTACAAAGAATCTGTTCAAGCCAGCATTAAGGAGTTTGGGTTTAATATGGTGGCAAGTGATATGATCTCGCTAGATCGGAGCGTTAATGACTTGCGTCAAGAAGAGTAAGCAAACCTTTTGTTTTCTTTTAGTTCTCTTTTTATGGGGTTCAGTTATTTGCTTTCCATGTATCTGAACTGATGCTTAAAATATTATTTATTAGGCCACTTAAGGCTTCTTGCACTGAAGGCATGAGTGCTGTACTATACCATGTTTCCATGTATTCTTCTTAATGCTGTTGCAATGATTCCTTCCATGAATACTTAGACTGTAGTGATTTATCTCTGAAGTCATCTGTTTTAGTGTCAAATTGCATGTACTTGCATGTTCCATGTCTAGCCATAGTCTTGATTGTCATATCTTTTCTTAGTCCATAACTTCTTAAGATTTGTCTTCAAGAAGGAGGGATTATCTTTATTAGACATCCCTCTGCTAGTTACTTTATTCCGTTTTGATTTACCCTGATGCCTTTAAAATGGAGCATAAATAGAGAACAGAAACAAAGAAATACTGTTTTCTTTAAAACACTGCCTATTTACCTGCAGTAACAGAAGTATGGATCTGCCATAGTGATGGTTGGAATAGTCTTCCAGTAGTTTCTCACAGCATTTCCCCTAAAGAGGAAAGCAGTCTCAGAAAAAACATTTATTTACTTGCTGAAAGGTTGTCTAATGTGTTATGGGAAAATTCTGGATAGTTACTAACATTTGCTCAAGAGTTACTAACAGGTTTAGACAGTCTGTTCTGACTTTTGATATATGTTGAAGGCAATTTTGCTCTCAGGTTGATCTGCATTTGGTATAATTTTCCTTGTTAAATATCAGTTAGAGACAGGTTTCTGAGCAAACTGATTTAATGGCAGGGTATTTTTTAGTCTGCTTTTTGGCTGGGGTTTTGTGGGCAGTGTAAAAGTTAGATATGATGTTAAGTAATTTGCAGCTTCCAGCAATGGAGCTGTGCTGATCCCTGGACTGGGTGCCAATCTCTGGGCTGTATGTTTCCAATTGTGGTAAATAATCTGTTGGTGGTTCAGTGACTGGTGACTGGGGCTCTGCTCTGGAGTTTTATGGTGGCTGTTTTTCTTTTTGCGAGGTAGGAGAGACCTGGCCAGCTGTGGGTCTGACTCATACCCATGCACGTGCAGCTGCTTAAATTTGCTATGTGGTGTGCACGCCCTGAAAGCAAATGAAGCACAGGGAGCACAGCATTTCATTTCCTTCGTGCTGTGTTCCTCAGGTGGCTTACTAAAGGTTTCCACTTCCTGGCAGTCAGAGGAGAGGACCATGCCTGTCTGCTGCTGGTGGCAAGGGAGTGCCAGCTGTCCTTTGCTTTTCTTTCTTTGCTGTGCTCAGAAGTTGGCCCCTCGTACTAAAGAGATTTTTTCTGAAAGGGAAGGAATGTTCTGGGTAACCTGTGCAGGTCAGCATTTTCTTTTTGGGAGGTTATTCCCTAGATACTGCTGCTTCTGCTGAAGCATTTCTTCACTCTGTAAGGACAGCAAATCAGAGGTGGCAACGTGTCACATGCAGGTGGGACTGGGCTGCCTCTGCCCAGGTGAGTTCTAGCAGCAGAACTCAAGTACTCCCTCCCCTACATTTTTTCTCAAGGTAAAGGGTATCAGACAGCCTATGGTATCTCTCAAATAGTTCCACACCTGTAGCTATCTGAAGTATTTTTGACATGATTTCAGAATTTTTCTTCTGTTCTGAAGTTCATTAATAAATAGATATTCCCAAAAATTATAAAATACTTTGAGGAAGAGGAAGGACAGCCAGTAAAAGTGAAGTTTAGAAACTGTTTCCTTCAAGCACAGCTGCAGATAAGCCTTTGTAGAGGTCAAAGCCACCAGCTCGAATCAGTTAGGTTTTAGTATTTAATGATTTCATGTTCTAAGGAAACAACCAAACAGCATGAAAAAACAACATGAACAAAAGGTATCTTTCAGACACCATTATATCCTTTTCTTTATGTATTGAATACTTGGGATGCTTGCAATTGCCTAAGTAGGTTGCCGGTTTATAGCTTCTGTGTATCTCCTGGGAACAGAGGAGAGGGGAAGCAGTGCGAGACTGGCTGATCTTGCTCTATGCTTTCAGGCTCCCCCATGCTCACTTTCCTGCTCACTCCCCAATACCAGAGAGAAATGCAGCAAAAGGTGGCAGATTACCTCTTGGATGCACCATTTATTTTCCTCCCACTGATCTATTTAAAAAGACCTTTGTGGCTGGTAAGGCACTCAACATTCACTTGAATCCTGCCAAAGAGCAAGATAGCAATTTTTTGTTGTTGCTGTTAATAGTAAGATGGCATTGCTAATTGAGGATGGTCTTTCTGGTAAAGACTGAATTATTTGTCCATAGATGAGTAGAGCTCCCTTCAGCCCTCTCTTTCTTCAAGCAGCAGAATTTTGAAGCATTACCCAGTGCAGTCAGGTTTGTTCAGTGAAGTATGCCAAATGCTTTCCCAGGCTGTGCTAGCAAGAGTGAAATAGTGCTGCAAGAACTGTCTCTCTCAGCTTAAAAGCCATATAGCCTCAGGGCTTGTCCCTGCTGGAGGGAGAAGAGGAAAGAAATGCCAATAAAGGGAGATTCAATTCTGCTAGGTTTGGATTTGACTTTGTAGTCTGACATGTTGCCAGGATGATTCGCCAGCTGCCTATATTGATTCAGTAGGAACTTTTCTGGTGATTCTGGGCAGTCTCAGCTGCTGTAAAAAGCCTTAATTCTTGCTGTATCCCGCAGGGAGGAATGACACTGGATGGTGTGTTAAAGTTTTTTGTCAGGTACATCAGACTATTTCCATTTTGCCAGTACCACATACTCTTGGCTTGTGGATTTTAACCAATATATTTCAGTGTTGATGCCCAGCACTTGTGTTGACATACAGCAAGTCATAACTTTGGTTAAAAAAAATCAAGAATGTATGGGGATATGTAAAAGTCAGTGTACAGAATTTAGAAGATGGCTCATCTCACTGCAGTCTTTCAGCACTCTGCAAGAGGGCCAGGGGTAACACAAACTGGATTAGTAGAGAAATACCTGTTTTCCACCTTATTTCTGGCAGCAAAGAAGTAAGTAGAGCAGGCTTAGCAGGCCCTGTCTAAACCTCTGTACAGTAGCTGGAAAAAACTTTTTTCTTTAAACTTGGTGATTTTTACCTTTTTTGGATCTATTTTTATCATCCTGATAGGTGGCAGGCCCTTAAGAGCAGTAATTTATACTGGATTTTACACATTATTCCTACTTCCTAGAGGACCTGCAATAAAATAATTGTTAGCTTTTGGGAAGAAGGATATTAATTTAATTACTCCTTGCTTTTTGTATTCAGGAGTCTGCAGAGGTAGAGCTGAAGTAAAAACAGAGTGATAAATTTTCTGGATTATTTTGGATCCAAGATAAATACACTGTGCTAAGGAAATAAAAAAGGGTTGAGGGTGAATGCTGTCAGGTAACAAGGTGTGTCCTCTCAAAAAAAAAAAAAAACAAGAGATAACTGTGGGGTATTGCTACTAGGAATAACAAGAATCGAGTTGTGTAACCAGTATACTGATCCACCTCCCCAGAGTATTTTAAAATAAAATTTAATTTTTAAAAATTCATTTATGCTGAGTTTGAACAGTGGTTGTTTCTCCTGACAACTTTAGCTCTGGCCAAAACCATATGCTGGTGAGAAAACAAACAAGAATGGATAAGCGTCATTCCTGGCAACCAGTGCACTGGGGCACTGGAGCCAAAAATTGCAACAGGGTTGTCATGCTTCAGAGACCTCTTTCTGTGCACAGACTTGTCATTTGAATGCATTTATAGTCTTGAAATTAATGACATCCTGAGTCAGTGACTGCAGAATGTGGTGCTTGTTTTAACCTCTTCTCCCAGATACAGATACTGTTCTGTGCCTCTGTGACTCTGCTGCCCTGTGACACGGGAATATCAGAGATAGTTCCATGAAGTTCCTATATAAATGTTTCATGTTCCATCCTTTTTATTCCTGCTATTTCATTTCCCTTTCTTTAACTCTGAGCTAAAATTCTGAAAGGCCTATCCACATTCGACTCCCAAGATTTTTTAAACTTTTTTTTTCCCCAGTGGTAATGCAGAGTTTAGGATTTGTCACTGAGTCTATGCACTGAGTGGTCTAACACTCCATATCCAATCATTTGCACTTGCACTGAGCTCTCCTGCTGGCTCATTTCCTTGATAGCATTCTTGAATTATTCTGCAGCTGTTTATAGTCATTTTAACTGCAACTACCAAGAACTTTCCTATTGTTCAGCAGTGACCTGGAAGAAGAGGTGGACTGCTTAGCTCCCAGCACGGTTATTTATGCTGCTAAACTCACAAACTTGCTTGCAATTTGGAATTAATAGACTTCAGACTAGACTAAGAGATCTACCATAATTTGATGAAGAACTGTATCTGTAAGGAAAAAAAAGAACCTCATCAAATGCTTTGGAAATTCAGTTACTGTATTAATAGCCTCACTCATATCCACAAAATTTTTGATTTCTTCAAAAGATGATAATATTTTTCTGTGGCCTGGCTTTTTTTCACAGAAGCTGTGTCTATGATTTACTAATTTTGTTGCTTATTACTAGCTTCTATTCAGCACAGAAGTCAGACTTAGTGATCTGCAATTCTTTAGAACCCCAGAGCCCTTTGATAAAAAATTATATTGTGTGTTCCTCTGTTTAAGACTGGAGTCAGCAGTACAGTACAAGATTTTGTTAATTCATTATGCATTGTTTAGGAAATACTGGGTTTATTTTAAAAAAAGGCAATGAGGCTATTCGTGGCAGAAAATTCCAGTAGAAGCTATCGTTCAGCTTAAGCCTGAAGATAGGACTATATAGTAAGAAGTATCACTGTGTACTTGCCCTTTATTTTATTCTCTTCTCAGGGTATCTGGTGTTGGGCACCACTGAGAGTTCAATGGAAATACTTAATTTAGATTTCCTGTTTCTGAAGTGGTCTCTTTTCATTTTGGTCATGTATCAGCCCAACAGACTTTCTGGCAGACATCCTACTTCTGTTGTTTGAAAAAAATATTTCAATAGCAGCTTTCATAC